GTCACGGCGTGGTGGAGACGTGCTGTCATCTGGATAAAAACGTGTCCTCAGCTCCTGCACTGTGCTGCCTCGCCACTCAGTAGGAAAGGGCTGGGCGAGAAATATTTTCTATTCCCAGGCAGCGTGCGTGCACTGGTCGCCTGGCTTTCTGTTTCCTGTTGTTGTAGTGTTTTAAAAGCAATGCCTGTAGGTGAGGATTATAAACTGCTGTTACGTGGGTGATGGGGGTGCAGTGCCTTAACATAAGAAGTAGAAGTGGCAGTAGTTGGTTGGCAGCGCTCTCATTCCACCCTGCAGAATCATCCAAAGTTCAAACCTTTGCGGGAAAGGAAGTCTTTTCTGAGCAGCCTTCTTCCCTTCCAGGTAAAAGTTCATGTTTTGAACCATTTGAAGCCTGAGGATCTAAGATTATTTTTCAGGCTTGCCTGCCACATAAATAAAACTGATACCTTACATCTTCAGAATGAACAACAACAAAAAAACCCTAAAGAGGGAGCCAGAGAAGGTGGGGACAGTGTGCCTTTCAAAAGCAGGATGAATGAAACCCTATGCTTCTGCAAGTATGGATGTAATCTGCAAACAGTTGGTTCGGCATTGTGCCCCTTCAGGCGGGGAGGCTGGGAATGCCAGGTCTGCAAACAGCTGGGGGAGGAGTTGAGGAGTAGGAAAAAGGGGAAGCAATGAGTGAGGAAAATGTAGCTGGAAATCACAAGAAGTGAATCCGTTAGAATGATTTAAGGAGTAAAAATGTATGGTTTAAGAACCTGATGAAGTATCTTTGTTATCAAAACTGAACACCTAGTAGAAGAGCTGTCAGAAGTAGTAGCAGTGGAAGAAGTCAGGGATGTTACTGTTGTATTTGCTATGGAAAAGCTTCTCAACATACACTTTGAGAGGAAAAAGAAAAAAAACCAAACAAAAAAACAATAAATCCTTTGTAATAAAAAAGAGAAATTGTGCTCAGGACTGGATTGAAAACATGGGCCTGCCCAGAGCAGGAGAAAATCTCCCCTGTCCTGTGTTTGGGGGGGATAAATTGCTCTCGATGGGCTATCTGGTGTGTTGAGAGGGGTTAGAGTTGTTAAAAGGTTGAAATAATGTAGAGAGCGCACTACTGTTGTGATCCCAATTGATATTCAGAATGCCTGTAATGAAATACCTGTTGTTGGCCAAAATACATGTGCTCTCTTATGTAAACAGTAATAATTCTCCAGTATCATACACTGGTTTTCTTAGTGTACCAATTGTCTGAAAACTTGATACAAGATATGGCTTTGAACAGCTGTGCTTGGGAAAAGCATGAACTGCCTTGTAGCAAAACCAGCCTATAAACAGGGTTGATTTAGAAAGTTCCAGCAAGATCAAAGAAGGCTGAAAATTATTATTTGCCAAAATAGAAATGGTTGTTCCTGGAAACCAGTCCCCTCAACTGAAATATCACTTGGGCCAGATGTTGAGGGCATTGGATACTATAGAGTTATCTTGTAAGTCATGGGTTGAGGATGCCAAAGTGCAAGCAGTTGGATTATGTTAATGTTCTGCTGCTGCCCTGTTGATAGCAGTGACTTAAGAATGTGCTTTTATAAGATATAATTTATGGTATAGTAACATGTTTAAGGGTAGGCAAATATTGGCTAATCAAGAATTTCCTTCTTTTCTGTGTTAACTAGTTAATCATGATGTAAAAAAAAAAATCTTGCTTGTTTGGTAAGCAGTAAAATCTTTTTTTCAGTACATTTGGTGTGTGCAAGTAAACTTCATCTATTTTGGGTAATTAGCACTGCATTAGCACAACATGGCAACTGATGTTAAAACACAGGGTAATTAATGATACAGTGTAAACATAGTGTGCTAAAGAGCTAACCAAACCCATGAATTTCTAGCTGATCGAAAGTAACACACTAGAAATGTTATTTGGGGATGGGGAGAGTAAATATTTTTTTCCTGTGTTGCTAGATTATTGATACATGGTTAGTGCCAAATGGGCAGAAGCGAAAGGGTCAGACGTTTCAAGCTGATGCCAACAGCATCGTGTGCAAGTGCAGCTCTTGTGTGGGTTTTTTGTTGGTTTTTGTTTTTTTAAATTCCTTAGTGTATAGTGTTGTAATGGCTCAATGAGCTGGAAGATGTGTAGGGTTTTCTGTACTTTCAAATTTTGGTTTGCTAGTCTTGCATTTCACAACTGGCACAAAATGTTAGAGATGTGTGATAGCTGATGGTCCAGCACTAGGGAAATGGAAATAGGGTTGGATACATATCTTGTCCAGTAGTAGTTTTTCCCCTCTCTAGAATAAATTTGGGTGCATTAGTCTAGAAAAATTAGGAAGTTCTCAGTTTGAACTCCGTGAAATGGAACTGTGTCCATAGGAAGCATGGATGCTGTATGCTGGTGGCTCCCAAGTGTGCTAATCCAACAGGGAAATGAAAGACCAAGTTTCTTACCACCTGTAACACTCACCAAGTTATATATACGTATGACTGATAAATGCATATCTAAACTTCTGAATGACTGGGAGTTCTTACTATTGGGGTAAATAACTACTTGACCCACAGACGTGGCAGGAAAGATAACAATCTGCTGAGTCCTAAGTGGGCTGGAGATACACTGCCATCACTGAAAGCGAGTTCTCCATTTGAGAGAGATGTCATGGATTTTGGGGAGGACAGAAGAGAACAGTTCCATGATAAAAGCTGAAGCCAGAACCTCATCTTGAGGCAGAATTTTGTCTCTTAAGCAGTTTGTCAGAAAAATGGTTAGGTGTCAAGTGAAAGCATGACCTGGATCTGAAAGCTGCTCCTGTTTCTTTGAACCCAAACTGTCTCCCTGACACATACAGCAGAACTGGGACTGGAAACTGAAATGAAAAATTTTTGGAGGCTCTGCACAAAGCAGGACAGAGTCTAGCTCCTTCTGTACAATCTGATTGGGAAGCATGCAAATGCTAGAAGAAACAAGGAAAAAACTAGTCAACAATTTAGGACCATAAAATGGACAACTATAGTGAGTAGGAAGTTGTGGACAGATACTCGCTTCTGTTCCAGCGTTACTGGATAAGCTGGGTAGCAAAGATCTGCTATTTTGAAATGTTTAACCCAGCTCATTTTACTGACAGGTTAAGAAGTGTTCACATGAACAGCTCCATTAGCAAGTGTAAAGGGCTACAACCTTCAGTAGGAAGATGATGACGAACAGGTGGCACTGGCTTGCTGAATAATACAATCTAATATCACAACTGTTTGTGAAGTGCACGTTTCTTCACCACCACATAATCATTCTTCTGAACTGCTCTTTAAACATCAGCAAAGGCCTCTCATTAATTCAGCTTGACAGTTTGATTACAGCATTTTAACAGCTTCTGAAAAATAATTCAGTTACTGAAGTGGCAAACTTGGTGCCTTGACAATGAAGATAAAGTGCTGCCTCACAGCCGGAAAGGCAGAGCTAATCTTGTAATTCCTGATCCATCTTTGTGTATGGTCTTGGTTTAAATGTGTGATATTTCCTCTCCATGTGAATATATGCGGAGTCCACTTTCGTGGGTCAATAAAATGCTTGAAATAACATGTAGATAGATAACACTAACACACCTGCCTTTATTATATTGCATAAGCAGCCTCTGTGTACTGATCTGATCAGAGATTGGTATTTTCAAAAAGTACTATTGCTGTATCAGTGAGAAGAACAGTTGCCTCTACTGAAGTGTCCTTACACATTCCTACAGCAAAACTGCCAGCAGTAATAAATTCTTTGGGTATATATGTTATCTGAGGTAGGTCTCAAATGTGCTGTATCTGCAGAAGTCTGACTCGTGTCTTTTTGACAACAGTTTGATACTTTCCGTTATTGAAATGTTTGAAGCTACTAAACCTTGCTGTACTGGGATTCTGCTAAAATACGTTTGTAAAGGATGTCTAGTCCTGGAATTCAGGAGGATAACTTTTAAAATTAAGTTCTGTCCAATTATGCTTTGTTTTGCCTGCAATTATTGGACTATTGTGTACCCTGATCATTTGTCCATAGCTTGCAAAACCTGGAAAGACAAAAACTGCATAGAATCATGTAGATTGGAAAAGACCCTTAAGATCATCAAGTCCAACCATAAATCATGATAACACATGTGATAAAATACAATTTAAATCTCTATTTCCTATAGACCAGTTCAAACAGGTATACAAGACAAGGTACTGTCCCACACATGAAGACTTTTACATATATATGACCTTGCTTTGAGTTTCAAATTTTTTTTTATTTGAAAGAAATAAGAAGCATTAATTATTGTATGTAGAAGGAACTGAATGTTCGGAGTGAAGAATTTCAGTGTGCTGGGGTGGGATGAGGCTTCTGGAACTCAGAAGTGCATCTGGTGGGGAGAACAGGAAGGTGGCGCATCAGAGATGAACTATAATTTCAGAAGACTTGAAGGTAATTTTAACAGCATGGCACTTCTTAATATTGCCACTTTGTGCTATGTGGAAATATGTTAACTAGCAAACAGTAACCTAGATCAGTAATTTTGAGTGTAAGTATCTTCTGCTTGTTGTGTTTTGTTGTGTGGGATGGGGTTTTTTCCTACCTAAAATTGTGTCAGATTTTTCCTTCAAGATCATCTAAGAGGGCCTGGTAATGCTTTCCATGCCTGTCCATGATTGCCAACTGTCCTAAGCATGTTTTTGTCCTTGTCTTTCTTGAATCCGCTCTTGTATTCAATGATACTAAGAATGAGGTAGTTAAACAGATGTGAAGGGAGTATTAACTAAAATATAGATACATTTTGTGCAACAAAATAAATCTACAGTTAATTTCTTTAGTAACAGTCCATAATTTGTCTAGACAGCTTTAAATCCAGTGAGATAAAGAGTGTCCAGATTGTTTTAATTTTCAACTGACTGACCTGTTGTGTATAACCTCTTATGTTTGGCTTAACGCTTGAAAATAAGGGTGTTTGAAGGGGGAAAAACATATGCATTTAACACAGTATTACATTTTCTTCACAGACTCTGACACATCTCTGGGACCTGCAATGACAAGTCAGAACAGTAGCCATGCAGAGAAAACTGGTGAAATGTCCTCAAAGCAATCAGCACCAAAAGTGCAGGTCCAACGATCTGTCTCCCGAGAAACCATCACTATTCATTTCTCTGCATTTGGGAAGGAGGAAGAAGAGGAGGAAGAGGAGTTTAAGGAATTTCTTGATGAGGAACTAGATGACCAAAGCATTGTAACAGCACTTGAAGCCAAGGAAGACCTCTGCTTTGAGCATACCGGCCATGATTTTTCTGGTCCAGCTACCTCGCTTAACATGGCCAACTCTGCATCACTACTGTCCTCATCACCTGCAGTTCTGCCAACTGCGGAGACTGTAAAGCTGTTGGATTCTCCTTCCACATCCCAAGTATTCAGTGCAGTACCACTAGTCCTGTCTCCATCATCACACTCCTGTCATACAGTTAGCTTATCAGGTGCACCACCACCTGTGGAACAGAAATCTAGCCTGTCGTCTTCTCCATCCTCATCCCCTTCCAGATCAGTTGTCTGCTCTAGCGGATCATCCACAGTTCCTAGTTCAAAGCCTTTTAAGGGTTTGGTCAAGTCCCTTTCAACAGATGTGGAACCAAAAGAACCCACCCCACCGATGCGACATAGACAGTTAATGAAGACCTTAGTGAAATCTCTGTCTACAGATACTTCTAAACAAGAACCTGAAGCTGTGTCTTACAGGTCACCCGACTCAAAACTGAACTTGCATCTGTTCAAACAGTTCACTCAGCCTCGAGCTACAGGTGGTGATTCTAAAACTGCCCCCTCGTCTCCATTAACATCTCCCTCTGACACTCGTTCCTTTTTTAAAGTACCTGAAATGGAGGCTAAAATTGAAGATACTAAAAGACGCCTTTCTGAAGTAATCTATGAGCCTTTTCAGCTGCTCAGTAAAATAATGGGTGATGAAAGTAGTAGCCACAGGCCCAAAGCCTTATCTTCAAGTGCTTCAGAACTCTCAAACCTTTCCAGTTTGAATGGCCATTTGGAAAGCAATAACAACTACAGCATTAAGGAAGAAGAATGTGATTCTGAAGGGGACTTCTATGGAAGTGACTCTAACCTGAATAAGAACGATCAGTCAAAAGCAGCTGAGGAACATGCAAAAGAGACAGAGACCAAAAGCTCTCAGTCTGCAAGCACAAAGGACATGAGTTCAAAAACTTCACTCGTACTTGAAAAATGTTCATTGTCTGCACTAGCAAGCAGAGAGGATGAGGAGTTTTGTGAACTGTATTCTGAAGACTTTTCCTTGCTAGAGGATGAAGGCAAAACTGATAAACCTGCTGAAACTTTGCTCGATCCAGAGGTGACTGAGGAAAATGGTACTATGCTCAGTAGTGAAGATGAAAATAATCCGTGTGTGCAACAGCCTCAAATACCAGTGAAAACTTTATACTTCTTAACACTGCTAGTCTATGCTTACTTTATTATCCCCCTCCCTGGCTATTTAAGTGGACTCTTATTTGGAATGGCCCTTGGTTTTATGATAGCTGTCTGTGTGATTTGGCTTCTTACTCCACGTACTCATGAATATCTCAAATTGCATAGAAGTATGAAAAAGCGATGGAATACAGGAGCTCTAGACATCAAAGAACCTGAAATACTGAAGGTGAGGTCATGGCGTTTTGTGTGTGTGTCTGTGTGCATTATTTTGGGTAGAAGTAGTAAACTAGATTTATCCTGGAGGCATAAATGAGCTGAATTATCTCCATTTGTAAATGGAGTATTGTTTTAGAGTCGGGGGCTTTGACAGGGGCACAAATGGTTTAGTATCCAAAAATATGTAAGACTTAAGTGTACTTAAAGCTTAGTAGAAAAACAGAATTACTTCAAAAGTAAAAGGGCAAATGGTTTTGCTGATGGATTTGAAATGATCCAGCTGAACTACTGAGAGCGAGTAGTGTCAGAGTTTAGCACGGAAAATAACATTTGTGCTTGAAGCTGCATCTTGGGAGATGTATTTTGTTTCTGGGGTATTGTACTGTCGAGGCAGAAATTTGTCTGTCTTGTCTGTTCAGGCTAAGCAGATTCAAAAGCGTGTTCAAGTAAAGCATAGCTAGCTGGAGAGGACATGGATTCTCCTCAAACATTAGGTAATTAGAATGAGAGGAGGAATGAGTGATGAAAGGGATGTATTCATGGGTGGACATACTCATGGGTTATGATGTCTGTGGCTCTGCGTGCTGTATCTTGAACATTGTACTGTATAATATGGATTACAGTTCAGTAAAATGTGTGCCGGAGAGCTGGGTTTTAAATCAAGCTCTTAGAAAATTTATCTTCCCTCCTCTTTGCCCTTCCTCATCTCCATTTCTTGCTCAGATACTGCAAGTTGCTGTCAGTTCATAAGTCAGGCATGTTGCTGTGTGTCCAGTTGTGATCCAGGCAACCACTCAGTTACTTCAGTGGCTTTGTGCTTCTGTGTCTCTGTCCTGCCTCTCCTAATTTCCATCTGTGATGAACTAAAGTAACGTTTTCCCAATTGCCGAATTCTGAACAATAAAGCATCTACTAGTTCCCAATGTGCAACAGAAGCATTTCAGAATGATAGTGGTACAACCTTCACTTGCTATCACTTGCTTATCAGAGTATTTGTGAATGCTTGCTTGTGTTTGTGTAAATACAAATCCATCCTGAAGGTGCCTCTCCAGTTGTGTAACAGCAGAAAGGTTGCATGAATTTAAATTCATACGGTATTGGTTATATGCTGTAGAATCTATAGTGTATTGATAGCTAATCTCATGGATCTTTAGGTAACTGAGAAGTTAAAGAAATAGGGTATAAAAGCCAACTTCTGCTGAATACAGGCAGCAATTGCATGCCGAGCCCTGATGCTACCTTGGTGTTCCCTGTTTTTCTTGAATGTTACGAGTTGTGGTCTTTATTTGCTGTTGTGAATGCAGACTGACAATCCCACCTGCCCATTTGATTTACCTGCTGCTTACATGTACAAATCTTCACAAACTCTAAGTTCTGTCCTTGTTAATTGGGTGCTGAGACCCTGTGTATAAATTTGCCTTGATACTTGAAAGCTGGTAAAGATCCTCACTCTCGTTGTTGGCTGATGGTAAGATGGCTCTTTGAGGTGTTAGCTGTTATTCAGGAACCTTTAAACTATATTTTAATGCTTTTATCCAGGAGATGCATTTTATAAGAAAGGCTGTAGGCAAGAAATGAACTGTGCAGAGAAGTGTGTATGAATGTAGGTTAATGTTTTGTATGACATGATAAGTATTTCTTGCGCTCATTAACACACAAAGTAATTGTCCTTAATATGTAAGGCCCTAGAAAAGGGCTTTTTAATGCTTCAGGAGTTCAAAAACTGGCTCAGTGCCCATATTGTGGTGGAACATAATGTAATGTGATTTAGCAGATTGCAAGTTATTATTCCCCCCTTATACAACTATTTTCTGTTTGCGTCTGTCAAAATGAACACTGCACAGTTTAGATCCTCTGAAAAATGAGATAAAGATTTATTCTGTAACAAAAGTCACGTGAATATAGGAAAATCAAACTTGATGCTCCTGCATAAAGATGTTCTCTTCAGGACTTGTTGGTCTTGTA